TTGTTCTTTGGAACCGCTAGGAGAGCTCTAATTAAGCTTTTGAGTGCTTCGGAGACTTTATTGGCTGTGATTAAATAGCCATCAAATGTTCCAAATGTGATAATGCCCCTCAAACATGAGGAATCATGTCCTGATAGGAAAGCTGTTATCATTTCTCTAAATACAAGCAATATGATTATCTGAGGTCATTCCTGTCATTTAATGAATTTCACTTTTTTTTTTTTTTGCATTTTCACCTAACATACATAGTCTGTGCCAGGTTCTGTGCCTAGGATACCCTCAAAAAGGATACGGAATAAAGAAATCTAAGAGATGTAGGTCTTAACCTGTCATTTGAATGAAAATCCTAGAACCTTAGAACTATGCTGTGCAGGAAGGTAACCTCTACTAACTACAGATGAGTATTGTAAAAGATGGCCAGTGTGAATTGAAATATGTGCAAGTATATGTGCAAGTATAAAATACACACTGATTTCATGGAATTAGGTTAGAAAGATATGTAAAACATCAATGATTTTTAATTGATTACATGTTAAATGTGTTTTCGTTATATTGTGTTAATAAATACATTACAAATAGATAAATATATAAAAGATACAGAAGTAAAAGATATTAAATATATAAAGTATATTCATGTTTTTATTTTTATTGGCCAGTGCTATCTTAGAGCACCAGTGACTTAGCATAGTTATTTATCTGGTTAGGAGGACTCCTTGTGTATCACCTTACTGTGTAAATGGCAGGTAACATCTATTTTGATCAAAAAGGTAGATAATTCAAGCTCTGTTTTAGGAAAAAGTGGAATTAACACTAAGGACTTCAAAATAATTTGCATTTTAAATTAGAGCTTAGATTGTTAATCTGGTTGATTATTTTAGCATTGAGAATTGAGGTATTTTTAAATGGTCAGACTAGGAAAACTCATTCAGATGATGGGGCGGGGTTACCAGATACCTCCTTACACAAGGAGCCAGCAATACCTACATGTACAGGATCAATATAACTTGGAGAAGCAGGTGGGGAGAGGGAAGGTAGAAAAGTGTGTCAGGGTAATGGATGGTTCTGGGCCGATGCCCTGAGAAGAGGCAGCATGTTTGATTGGGATACAGAGAGTTGAGGAGGCATGATCAGCCTGTGGTGTGGAGGAAGGGAAGACCAGAGACAGGAACAGCAGGCAGTTGCTTTGATAATGTTGTCAAGAACAATATTTAGATGTGTCTTGAGTAATAATAGTAACGGATATTCCCTGATTTATTAATTTGCCATTTATATTTTACTATAACCCTACTATACTATTTCCATTTCACAGATGACGCTTCAAAAGTATAAGGATTGAGACTAATAATTGGCAGATCCAGGGTTGATTTCACACTGATCAGCTGGTTGTGCAAGAGCGAAAGTCAAGGATCACACCCTGGTTTCTGGTTTTGTTAACTGAGTGGATAGTGGTAACAGACATGGAAAGAACATATAACATTTGGGAAGGATTGTGGTGAGGAGTTCCTTTTTGAACATATTCACTGATATCTTTGGACATATGCAGATGGTGCTGTGTAGTAGGCAGTACACAGCCTGTGTTCACTGTCTGTCTGGAGTCGGAGAGAACATTACACTTACGATACCAATTAGAGAATCGTCAGTCTTTGAATGTTATTGAAACCTTTGTAGTGGATGTGGTCACTGGCCAAAAGGATGTAAAATGAGAAAGTGAAGCAGGTTAGGGCAAAAACCAGGGAAATGTTAACATTATAGGAGAGGAGGGAAGAGACTAGGCTAGGGTGATGCCACAGAGGCAGATTAAAGAAGGGGCATTGTGAAAAGGAAGGGAGTGATTCGAAGTGTCAGGGGCTGCAGAGGTCAAGAAACTAGAAGATAGTATCTTCAAAACTTAGCAGCACAGAGATGATGGGGAGATGATTTCAGTGGAACTGTGATATGAATTGAATTAGAGCAGACTCAGGAATGAATTGCAGGGAGCTGAATAGTAAAGGGTCACTAGAAAGCCCATCTATATATATATATACTCGGGAAGTTATTTGTATCCTCCCACATTTAAAGTTTTCCTCATGTTCTTTAGACATCTTTTTTGTTGATGGATGGAAGTCACTAAAGCAGTTCTTAATAGCTCTTTTTACCTATGGTTAAGTGAGTCTTACACATAGGGGCTTTGTGAATACCTTGTAGAAACAGTGTACATAACTGACAGACGTGGCTTGGAAAGAAGAAAGAGAGCTAGATGTGCAGAAAAGTTAACATACTGCATGCGAAATATTCCTTGCCTACAGTGAAAGCCAAATTTGAGTGAGATTACATGGTATATATTATCTACTCAGTTGTAAATCATCAAAAGCAATTCAGTATTTTCCTTAAACAATGTTATTTTTTTAAAAGGATTTTTTTTATGCATACAAGAACTGAAGTGTAGGCCAGAGATGTGGGGGGGGGGGGCGGAGGGGGGTGAGAGGATTCACCAGAGACAGAGTGGGGAGCAGAACAGGCAGATCTACTGAAACACACTGCTGAGGGGAGAAGTGGGCGACACAGGAGAGGTCTGCTGCGCCATGTGGGTTAGCTCCCTGGCTGGGGATCCAACCCATGCCAGTGGTTGGTGATAGCTTGACAGTGCTGAGACTAACCACTGTGCCACCAGGGAGGCCCTTAGTTTTTATTATTAAAATACTCTGTGCAAAAGCAAACCAAACCAAACCCTTGAAATCTTGACACCAGAAGGGACAAGTGGGGGTGGGGGGCATGGGAGAAAAGAGGGGATCAGTGGATGATGGTGGAGGATAATTAGTGCTTTGGTGGTAGTTGTGGTGTGATAACATACATGTGCTGGGGCCTCCCTGGTGGCCTAGGGGTTAAGTCTCCATGCTATCACTGCTATAGCCTGAGTTGAAATCCCTCTCAGGGAGCTACCCACATGGCACAGCAGACTTCTCCTGTCTCGGCTGCTGCTCCTCTCAGCAGTGTATTTCGGTAGATCCACATGTTCTGCTCCCCACTCTGTCTCTGGTGAATCTTCTCACCCCCCCCCATCTCTGTCCTACACCTCAGTTATTCCACAGAAAAATAAATAAAATCTTTAAAAGTACATAGGTGAACCTATAGCCCTAAAACATAAATGTTTTATTGGGTTGTCAGAAAAGTCATGATGTATTATTTCTATTTTTTGATCAAAAATGTGTCATGGCTTTTCTGACAATAAATCGTTACCTCAATAAACATGATCTAAAAATTATTTAAAAACTTTAAAAACAACTTCATTAAGGTATTTTATATTAAAAATATTCTCTGTAGTTCTCTACATTGTCACAGAAATGGTCTGATTTAAAATTTCAGGAAAATTTCTCTGCAAGAAATAGATTTGGTATGTGGTTCCTACATGTATCTCATAATCATGGTTTCTATTATATCAGGATGCCGATGTGTACTTCTCATTCTTTTTTTTTTTTTAAAGATTGATTGATTTATACAAGCACTGGGGTACAGTCAGAAGCGCGGGAGGATGGGAGAATTCACCAGAGTCAGAGCAGGGAGCAGAGCAGGCAGAAGGATCAATGTACTTCTCATTCTTAACAAAGATTTGAACATCTAATAATTGAATACAGCAGAAATATGAGATCATGTAGTATATTTTTACCTTTTATTTTATTCTTTTTTAAAGATTTATTTATTTATACAAGCACTGGGTACAGTCAGAAGTGCGGGAGGGTGAGAGAATTCACCAGAGCCTGATCGGGGAGCAGAACAGGCAGAAGGACTGAGATACACTGCTGAGGGGAGCAGCAGGCGGCAGGAGAGGTCTGCGTGCCATGTGGGACCCTCTCCGGCAGCCGGGCATCGAAACCGGCGCTGCAGAGGCTGCAGGCAGCTTTGCAGCCCCGCGCTCAACCGCTGTGCCACCAGGGGAGGCCCTATTTTTACCTTTTAAAATAGGAAATATGAATTCAAAAAGTAGATTAGTTATTTGATCCTTGACGTTACCAATTGATTTATGATTTCATTATCAGTTTAGTACTTTGCCTTATTTAAGCGATGTTTACCTTGATTAGTGTCTGTGTGATTGATGCATCAGTTTCCTCTACTCAAACTTTATCACCAAAACCTGCCATTTTAGCCCCTGTGCCAGTGGCACCAGAACTAGGTAGAAGCCTTGGTAAACAGGTCTGGCTAATGATGGGCTGCCAGCCATCATTTTTGAAAAGAAAGGATCCTACTTTTCCATTTTTGTTTGCCCAGTTGTTTCATTTAGATTTTCCTTTAATTGGACTTCAAGTTCCAAACTTTTGGCTTCATATTAAAGGCAAACAGGACAGGGATGCTTTGTGGTTTATTGTCAAGTACTTGTTTCCTTATTTTGTTGATTTAGAGGAATGATGTGATGTCCCTTGTGAAAATATGAGTGGTTATATATATGTGAGATTTCTTAAGGCCATAAAGATATGGTTGTCAAATATTAATACAATATATTTTTAATTTAGCTGGTCCTTTATTTATTTTTAATTATTTATTTGTTTATATAAGCATTGGGTACAGTCAGAAGCACAGGAGGGTGAGAGAATTCACCAGAGCCAGAGCGGGGAACAGAACAGGCAGACTGACGAAGAAATAGACTGCTGAGGGGAGCAGTGGGCGTGGCAGGAGAGGTCTGCGCGCCATGTGGGACCCTCGTCGGTGGCCAGGGATCGAACCAGCGCTGCAGAGGCTGCGGGCAGCTTCCCAGCCCAGCGCTCAACCGCTGCTCCACCAGTGGGGGGGGGGGTCCCTTTATTTTTTTAAGCATTAAAAATGGAACTAAAGTGTTGGATTTTGTTGTTTTTTTAAACCCAGTGATTGATTGTTTAATATCAGAAAATTCTTTAGGTTGAATTTGTCAATTTCCTAATCTTGGAATAAGGTATACCATAGATCTCTCTATCTTAATATAGTGATGATTTCTGTTTGAATAATGTGAAAAATGTAATTAAATTTAACTGTATTTTAATTTCTTTTAATAGAAAATGACTTTGGTGTTTGGAGATCGTTACTATTGGAAAGCTGGTTAGCATCTATTTCCTAAAAGAAACTTGACCACCATTTGCTCTGGCATGGCGCAAAGCAGTCCACAGCTTGATATTCAGGTTCTCCATGACCTCCGACAACGTTTCCCTGAGATTCCAGAGGGAGTCGTATCTCACTGCATGTTACAGGTAGATTACCTTGCAATAAGTGATATTAAGTTAGTTTTCTTTATTAGAGCTGGCTTTGTGTTGTAGTGAGTATAACTCATTTAAGTTTGTGACAAGGGGGACAATTAAAGCAGGATTTTTCAGCCTAGGTGCTGTTGACATTTTGGACTGGATTATATTTGTTTGTGGGAGGTGGTTCGGGGGTCTGTCTCGTGCATTGTATAATGTTTAGCAGACCCCCAGCCCCCTCCTAGATGTCAATAACACTTCCTCAGTTGTGACAACCCAAAATATTTCCAGACATTACTAAATGAACCATAGCAGGCAAAGTCAACCCCCATTGAGAATCACTGATTTAGAGAAAAAAGTAAAAGGCACATAGCAGAAAGTAAAAATAGATTCTCCTCATATTTCACTTCTTGAATTTTTCAGGGTGTGTCATCAGTCCCCAAACCCTTGGAATTGAATTTTGAATCACAAATTTATCGTTTTCACTTCTTTATATAGTTTAAAGAAGTCTATATTTATATTGAGTCTATATTTATAACTCCCTTTCTTACTGTTTGTCTAGTTGGTAAATGCTTATTAATATCTAATTTTAAGTATATGGCCACCTCAGTTAAATCACATACCTTTTGTCCTGTCTATTGAAATAAGTCATCTCTGGAATAGAATGTGTCTTCCCACTCAAGAGGCAACAGAGAAGCAGGCCTTATGCTCTCCCTGTGATTGAGTTATAGCATTTCTCGATTTGGTTGACTTTTGGAAGCAATACTTTAATCCTGCCCAGTGGACTTCCTCACACAATCAGCTCAAACTCTGCCTACTCTGTAATATGCAATCTACCTGACTGCAGTGTTAGTGGCTCAGGCTGTTCCTAAACCTATATAGAGTTGAGGTTAATTGCAAATAGAGAAGGAACAATGGTAGCAACAAACATGTTTCCTTTGTTTGCAAGCTCTTCTCCAGGTCTAGAGTTACAACTTACTTGCCTTTGTTTTTTCTAACACAGATTCCTACCTGAATCTAGTCTCTTCCTTTAGTTCCATTTTGGTCTCAGGTAGATCAGTTATTAACCACTGGAGTGAAACCAGTAAGATTTCTGCCACTTCCTCGCAATAACTTTTCTCACCTATCCAAACTAACTCTACCTTTGTTATTTACTTACTTATGTATTTATGATTTTTAAAAATTTTTATTTATGCGTACAAGAACTGGGGTATAGGCCAGAGGTGCGGGGAGGGTGAGAGGATTCACCAGAGACAGAGTGGGGAGCAGAACAGGCAGATCTACTGAAACACACTGCTGAGGGGGGCAGCGGGTGAAGAGGTCTGCTGTGCCATGTGGGTTAGCTCCCTGGCCAGGGATCCAACTCATGCTGCAAATAGCTTCATAATGCTGAGGCCTAATTCCTTGTGCCACTGGGGAGGCCTTGTGTATTGGGGGGTTTTTGGGTAATAATTTGGGTGTTATTTAGCCTTTTATTACTACCTCTGTGTTTTTTTTTTTTCCATGATTTAGTGTCTTCCTCACACTAAATTGAAGGAATGAAGTTTCAGGTCAATTCAGTGAACATGTGTTGATTGCTTTCATGTCCTAAGTCTTTTTACATGTTTGTTCCTTTGGGATTCATAGAGTATATTTGGTATGTAGATTTACCATCTACCGGTTCTGGAAAGTTTCTTTATTTGCATCATTAAAATATATGAGACTCAGTGGTTTACATTTAATATGCAAGTCTGAAAGCCTCTCTGAGTTATCTCTTAATTTAGAGTCATTTTTTAGGAGCATGATGCTTTTTTACCTGAGATCTTTCAGGAGTCGTCATATATCATCTTAAAAATTCTATGTTCTTCTGACTTTTGTTGTTCAACTAAACAATTTTTGTTTCTTTAACTCTTCGTATTTACTGTTTGACAATTCTGTTTTATTGGGGTGACATTGGATTACAGCATTGTTTGTTTCGGATTTCCCCTTTCAGGTGTTGTTAATATATCGCACCAACCACCAATGCTTGATATTTTTTTTTCTTTCTTAAAATACTTAGGTGGTCAAATATGACATCTGAATCTAAACTATAAAATGGTGCCATAAAGATAATATGTAAATATCTTGAATTTGTTTGAAAATTTTCTTCATAGGCAAATTTACATAACTTGTCACTATACGCATGCACTTGAATAGGCTGAGAAATTCAACCTTGTACCATTTTGAATTTGTATCATTTTGTGAGGATACTCATTAAGCTACTTAATTCAATGTGGGAAGCATGAAATTTTAGATAATTGATAAAATGCTTTTGGTTTCAACTCTAGTTTTTGTTCTCCCCTTAATCCTGTGTTTATAGTAAACTGGAAGGAGATACTTTTATTTTCACTTATTTTTTTTTTCTCACAGCTCTCAGTGACATTTCTAGTTGGCAATCAATTTGAGTCCTTTGGCTCTAAATTTGCTTACTATCTAGCTTCTCTCCCTCAATCATCATGATTTTCAAGTTGGCTAAGAATAAAAAAACAAAACTTTGAGTTTTAGTTGCTCGTAAACTTCAGTGAAGATTTTTCTCAGTAGCTCAGGATGTGTTTTTATTTATTTATTTATTTTTAAAGATTTCTTTTATTTATGCATACAAGAGCGGAGGTACAGGCCAGAGGTGTTGGGGGGTGAGAGGATTCACCAGACACAGAGCGAGGAACAGGACAGGCAGACTGACTGAAATACACTGCTGAGGGAGAAGCGGGGCGAGTCAGGAGAGGTCTGCCGCGCCATGTGGGTAGCTCCCTGGCTGGCTGGGAAACAAACTCATGCTGCAATGGCTGCTGTTAATGTGTATTTTTTAACTGATTTTTTTTTTTGTTTTGCTAAAATCTTTCATAATGATACAGAAAATTAAAGTTACATAGTGGTCAAATTTGTTAAAAGTGAAGGCAGCTTTAGAATTTTGTTTTGACTCTCAGAAATTTTATTATAGTTTTTCCCCCTCCTTTTTGCTTTTAGTGCCTTCTCAAAACTAAAGCATTGTTATTTTCATGTTTATTAGCTTTAATATTAATGATGGATATTAGTTATTCTTGTATATTTCAGCAGTTTGGTGAATCGAAGATTAACTCAACATTTAATTTGTTGAGATGCAACAAGTATAAAGTGAGTCCTGGATTTGCCGCCAGAAACGTGAGGTTCAGTGACAATGTTTATTAGTAGGTACTTTACATTTCTATAGTAGTAGCGGTAGTGGTAATACTAGTCATGTAAACTGATGTTTGTGAAATAATTGTTTGGGATCTCCTTTTTAGGATAGACGACCATGAAGCTTTTGTGCTTAAAAAAACTGTAGTGGACGTACTCTGACAGTTGTATTTGTATGACTTATAAAGCTTTATTTCCATTATCTGAAATTTGTTCATTTTTGCCAATGTTAGTTTTACCGTTTTTCTGTTGTAGAATAACAATAATCTTGAAGCCTGTTGCCGAGCCCTTTCCCAGGAGAGTAGCAAATACTTATATATGGAATACCATAGTCCAGATGACAACAGGATGAACAGAAATCGTCTTTTGCATATTAATCTGGGTATCCATTCTCCTAGTAGTTTCCACCCAGGCGATGCAGCACAACTTAATGGTGGTCGAACACTGGTACATAGTTCAAGTGATGGACATATTGATCCACAGCATGCAGCCGGTAAACAGCTGATATGTTTAGTTCAGGAACCACACTCAGCCCCAGCTGTCGTGGCTGCTACTCCCAACTATAATCCATTTTTTATGAATGAACAGAGCAGAAGTGCGGCCACCCCTCCTTCACAGCCACCTCAACCATCTTCCATGCAAACAGGAATGAATCCATCTGCTATGCAAGGGCCTTCACCACCACCGCCACCACCTCCTTCATACATGCACATACCTCGGTATAGTACAAATCCAATTACTGTTACTGTATCCCAGAACCTCCCTTCTGGACAGACTGTACCAAGAGCTTTACAAATTCTTCCACAAATTCCAAGCAATCTCTATGGGTCTCCTGGTTCTATTTATATTAGACAGACATCTCAAAGTTCACCAGGAAGACAAACTCAGACTACGCCATGGCAGTCCTCACCACAGGGGCCAGTGCCTCATTATAGCCAGCGTCCTTTACCTGTTTATCCACATCAACAGAACTATCAACCTTCCCAGTATTCTCCTAAACAACAGCAGATCCCGCAACCTGCTTATCATTCACCACCTCCTTCTCAGTGTCCTTCACCATTTAGCTCTCCACAGCATCAAGTGCAGCCTTCCCAGTTGGGCCACCCCAGTTCTCACATCTTTATGCCACCTAGTCCGTCAACTACTCCGCCCCATCCGTATCAACAAGGACCTCCGAGCTATCAGAAGCAGGGAAGCCATTCAGTAGCCTATCTCCCATATACCACATCGAGCTTACCCAAAGGATCTATGAAGAAGATAGAAATTACAGTTGAACCCTCTCAAAGACCTGGGACAGCAATTAATAGAAGTCCTTCACCTATTAGCAATCAACCGTCTCCACGGAATCAGCACTCATTGTACACAGCCACCACGCCACCTTCAAGTTCTCCTTCAAGAGGGGTATCCGGTCAACCAAAACCTCCATTTAGTGTTAATCCTGTGTACATTACGTATACACAGCCAACTGGACCGTCATGTGTGCCATCGCCATCTCCTCGGGTGATGCCAAACCCAACTACAGTTTTTAAAATTACCGTAGGCCGAGCAACGACTGAAAATCTTCTAAATTTAGTGGACCAAGAGGAGCGCTCTGCAGCCCCAGAACCTATTCAGCCCATTTCAGTAATACCAGGTTCTGGGGGAGAAAAGGGAAGCCATAAATACCAGAGGAGTTCTAGTTCTGGATCAGACGACTATGCCTATACACAAGGTAATGTTACCCCCTTTATGAAATTTAATCTTTGTGGTGAGACAGCAGTCTCCTATTTCAAGTAAAATAACATATTAACAGTTCAGTTTTGATTAAAATTTTTATATTAATTATTGGGCCTTAGCATTGCTATTAAGAATAGGGTTCGTGCTGCAGACCTCCATAAGCTCTGTTTTAAAATATGAAAATGCAGTCATAATAGTGACCTAACAAGACATTTTTTTCAGGAAGAACATTCATTGAGAGAAAATATACACAAGTGAAATCAATATTCTCAAAAATACAGAATTGGAAAATGGATGGACTAAAGTTCATCAGGGTGAAAGAATTTGAATCTTTTCTAAAGAGGATGGCCTGAAGAGTGTAATGATATTTATAACTAATACATGTTTATGAGAAGTAGGATTAGTAATGAATATTGTTGGATTAGCTAATAGTAGAGCTAAATAAATATAAAGGCGAATAGAGCTTTTTTAAGTCTGTTCAGATTATTTCAAGCTACTTGAGACTGTAGCATTTTTCTCAGTGTATAAGAGAATGATAGTAATTCAATGTTTGAGATTTAGCCTGCTTAAAACCAAGCATAAAGCGAATCATAAGGAAACTAAGGACAACAGAACAAGAGGAATGTACAGATGTCATGTTGGTTGCAGTTGCAAGAGCTAAATTAAAGCAGATATGTATGAAGGCAGAAAAAATATGAGACATGAGACATAGTTTTTTTACAAGTATTTTATACATTAACAATGTATATAGAACTTTCCCTCATTTGTTCGATGTTATTCTCTGCAATGACTTTATCTGTAATGTCATAGCCTTGCTGTTACATCAGCGAGCAAGGATGGAGAGGTTAGCAAAGCAATTGAAACTTGAGAAAGAGGAACTGGAGCGATTGAAGGCAGAAGTTAACGGTATGGAGCATGACCTGATGCAGAGACGCCTCAGAAGGGTCAGCTGCACCACTGCGATCCCAACGGTAAGTGGTCTGTTGAAATGTGTGGATAGGAAGGTCGGGACGCTGGCTATCCAGTTCATTTGTTTTCCTTTGGGTTCTGTTCCTGACAAGGTTTTTTTTGTTTTTTTGTTTTTTTTAAAAAAAACAATGGATCATAGACTTTAGCTTGCAGTAGTTCTTAAGATAATTTGATGTTTTGTTGTTTTCACATGTATGCATTCCATAAGCTCATCAGCATCTTAAATACTGACAGTGATAATCAAGGTATCGTATCTTATTATAAATTGCTTTCTGTCAAAATAGAAGTGAAAAGTGCACCCTGACCAGATAAATTATTCTCATGTACTCATTTTTTTCCCTAAGTATATTAAAATGAATTAGAATGAGCTCAATATGAACTTTGGGAAAGTATTGACTGTTGAATATTTTAGGGAAGAGCAATTTTGTTAAGTATAAATAATTGTAGAAACCAAGATACTATTGATGGCAGTCCTCAAGGAACTGATCTAATGAAAAGATTCAGATAAATATTTTTAACATGTTGATCATAATTTGAGTGCCAAAGGTCTTAAACAATTCTGACATGCATCCTGATTTCTTAAGACATCACAAGCTTTCTGTGATCCAATCTGTCATTTCACTTTTCTACATTCATTCATCCAATAAGCATTTTTTTTTTTTTGTAGTCTGAGGGTGGTCCTATGCTAAGTGCTTCGTCCGTCCTTGTTAGTAGGAGAAATAGGTCCATCAGTGGGTAACTATAATACACGTGGTAAATGCTGTGTAGGCTTATGGGTAGCGAGAAAACTCATACCTCTTCTGGCTTCTGAACACTTCAGTGTACTACTCTGCTCTGCTCATTTTATGCTTCTGCTGGAATGCCCTTCTAAAATTCTGAATGTATAGATCCTGTTTGTTCTTCATGGCTCACTTAACCTTTACTTTTTCCACAGAGCCATTCCTCATTTTCCTGTCCTCTCTAAATTAAAGGTGATCTCTGAATTTGCAGCTTTAGAGAAGTGGGCATATGTTAGATCTTTTGTAATCAGCATGTCTGTAGGTGTGCTCTCAGAGAATTGAACTGTGGTTCATCGCCTCAAAGGAGATCTGTGAATCCCTGAAGTTAATATGCAGAGTTTCACATGTGTTTACTTGGGAAGTGAGTCTATAGCTTTCATCTGGTTTTCATAAAATTCAGTTGAAGGAAAAAACAGTGAGGCACCACTGTCCTAATTGGTAGAGGACTACTATATAAGGCAGAGAGGAGAGGGAAAGGCACTTTAGAAAAGAACAAGAGTGAACAAAGGCTTGAAGTCAAATGGAGAGGACTGTTAGGAGGCAGCAATTACAGTCTTCTCACTTCAGCTGAGATCTTAACAGGTTAATGTGTGCAGGTAGAGTGGGACGTAGCTTTGAATGCTAGGCGAATTGTTTACACTTTATTGTGCTGGTAATGGGAACCCGTGGACGTGTTTTTGAGAAGACCGAGAAACAGGCATATTTAATAACAACAACGGTTTTCCTAATATAGATTGAATTCTTAGGTGTAGTCAAATACTAGAAGGGATGGTTTTAATTACTTAAAACATTTGGAAATTACAAAACTACCTTTAACTAAAAGGTAATATTAATATAAATCAAATACCTGCTTAATTTTTTTCTCTCCACTAGAACTCTTAATTGAATCATCTGATTGGGGATTGGGTTGGGGGGGAGCCATTAGGGAACATAGCCCCCAAGGGAACCATCCACCTATGGTTGGACTTTGGAGTCCTTTCAGTACTTGTATAGCATAAACAAACTTTTTTGGCATAAAAGTCATTTTCTCTAACATAACCATTTAAGCTTTCCTCAACAACCTCTTGCTGTGGTAGCCCTATGGATTTTGGTTTTTGTTTTGTTTCGTTTTTTTGGTAACAGAGATCTGATAGGTTAGTGTTTCAAAAAAAAAAAAAAAAAGACAAAACCAGATTTTAGATGAGTGCTTTTATTGATGAGACTTCTTTAAGAAAAAGATTTGTAAAACTGCTGACTTGGGCTGTAATTTATTTTTAACTTATCATAGATAATTTTATATATCTATAGATATATTTTATATATCTATATATATATTTTTATATAAAATGGGCAGAATAGTATAGTGAACCCCCAGGTAGCCATCACCCAGCTTCATAAATCTGTAGCTCATGTGGGTGATAATATGAGATGAGAAATTTGAATGTATGAGTCCCATGTGTTTACACTGCCAGGACTAGAGTAAAATGGAGGACAATTAGGAATACACAACTAAGGGACAATGTATACATCACGGCTAAGATGTGGGCTTTCAAGTTAAGTGTAAATTTGAATCCTAGTTCTACTCACATGTCACTCATAGTTCCTTGGATAAATAGCTTTCTCTGTGTTTGTTTTCTTTAAATATGTGTGACTATCCATTTAATGAGATTTTCATTAGGGTTAAATAAAATGTACACATTAAAAATTTTATACAATACTCAGAGTAGCTATTCTTAAAAAATTGTTTACAACATATTGGAAAACTGCTTGAAATATACACAAATCTCAAGCATTTTTTTCAGAACTTTGATTTCCTTTTTATTTTTTAAGATTTTTATTTATTTATGCATAGAAGAACTGGGGTGTAGGCCAGAGGTGTGGGGGTGAGAAGATAGACCAGAGACAGAGTAGGGAACAGAACAGGCAGATCTACTGAAATACACTGCTGAGGGTGGGCGAGACAGGAGAGGTCTGCTGGGCCATCTAAATCGGCGCAGTGGTAATAGTGCTGAGACTTTCTTAACCCCTGGGCAACCAGGGAGGCCCAGAACTTTTTAAGAACATGGCATAAGTGTATATTGTATAGGAAATTAATCAAGAAATGAAGCATTCAGTCAGCATTCCCTTTTTGTTCCAAGATGCTCATTTGAGGCACCATGACTGGGGAAGAGTCTCCACATGGACTCTGGAGATAGGATAGCAACTCTGATACTTTCTGGCTATGTAACTTCTCCATTTTGATTTTCCCTGGCTATAAAAGGGAATTATTACAAGTATGTTCTAGTGTTGTTATCGAGATAAGAGACTGTATGTGAAATGCCTGGTGTGGAGGTGGTGAGTACTGGATATCCTTACTGCCCTACTCATGTAGGATTATGCAATGGAGAATTCACATTTTTTGCTATCAAGCACATAAATTCCACCGTCAAGTTTTCAAGTTAATTTCTTATGAAACAGTGTATAAAAAATTGATTAGAAATGCATGTGCCTGATGAGACTAGAACGCACTTTTGTGATCAGCCCCATGTGCGGTTGTGGAAAGTTAAAGGAGCAATGAAGTAAGTGCCCTAAGGGGAGGTCAGAAAGGCAAGATGCATGACAGATCATTTTTCTTAATCTAGTATTTGCAAAAGCATTGTATTAAATGCTGTGGAGGACGTCATCTCAGATCTGTGAAACAACGGATATGTCCACTTAGAAACTTCCATGTATTCATGCGTGAGAGAAAAGATGCAAGGCAGTGAAACAAGTGCTGACCAGTTAAATGGTAATAGTAAATGCCTTCAGAGTTCTGAGATGGAAATGTTTGCTTTTTGTTCTTGGGGTTCAAAGATAGTGTTAGGGAAGAAGAGAAATTTCAGTTATACCTTAAAGGATAAGTAAGATTTTTAATAAGCAGAAAGCTGCCAACTCCCCCCCTCCCCCACTCATCTTCTGGATTTTTGGACTAACCCACAGCTTTGCATCTGAGAAGCATAATTGGGACCAATCCACCAAAGAACATCAGTGGTCTTTGATGGTAGTCTCTCTCAGACAGCTTCTTAAAGTGCTGAACAGTTCGCTTATGGTATTTTTGCCACCTTTTGAAAAACTTAGAATTTTTCACTTTGAAATGTCAGATATAAACATTCTAGTAGTTTGCAAACAACTCTGAATTACAGGCAGCCGCTTTTTAAGCCCCTCTACCATGAAAATACAGTGTACTTTTTTGACAAATAATAACTTTTCAAAAACAGCTAAAAAACTATGAAAAAGGACATAGGAATCTTACAGATAAACAGTTTAGTGAGTTCAAGTAGTTCTCTGGTCTTTGGAAATGAGCCTGTTGACAAGAGTTTGTTGTTACAAGCAAATGTGCAGAAGCTCTTGACTATAAAGTTTATTACAATATTTCCATACTTAGTTACAGAGCTTTACTATTCAGGACCACCATGACTGAAACATGGAACCCCTCCACCCTTTCCCCCTAATTAATAGCAGGGATCTGCCCCTTCAGTTATTTGACTTTCCTGATTAGACTACAAAGTAAAGAGTAGGCCCTTCAGCATATTCCTAGGAAGATAGCATCACTCTTTGAAATCCTAAAATAAGCCACTTATTTTAATGTAAATACTCAGGTATGTTCTTAACTCCTCTTGATAGACAGTATTTTACATATTTTTGTCACATGGTTTGCCCTTAGGGATGAGAAAGGAAAAGCAATACCTAATAGATATTTTGAAGTGACCTTTGTGTTCCGCTAGCATTCTAAGGATTGTAGCTCAATAAATTCTGCCTGCTAAATAACTTATTTTAAGCTTTTGATACCTGATCATTTAAATTGGCAGTTATTCTGATAATGCCTCCTAACACCATAAGATCTTGCATTATTGTAAATCAGTATAACCATTTTGTCATTTTTCTTCACTCTAATGTTAACATATTTAGTTCTTAGCAAAATACATGTTTTTAATAGGATTTTATTCTGTCTTACCACTGCAGATATTTTTTACTTTATATAGTTGAAATCACCATAGTAACTGAGTTAATACTTGTGCTATTCTGAAAGATTCAATATCCATGTCTCTGGAGTCTAAACCCTGACTTTTTTTTTTTTTTTTTACTGTACAGAGATATAGATAGATAGATGTAAAGAAATTTAGAGCATGTGAAGTAAAGGAATTTAGAACATGAGAAGTAAAGGCTTCCCAAATGCCTTATTTAACTGATGAGTAGGCTCTCTTCATATGTGTGTCTCGTTCATGGCCCTGAAAGGCCTAAGAGTAGATTGAGCAGGAAAGGTGGATGTAGAAGAAAAAGTCAAAGAATGGGCTCTGTGTGCCTGAAATTTTTCATGTACTAGGTTGCTTATTTTGGTCTAGAAGAAGATAAAATGATTTTCTTTTAAAGATTTATTTAAGCATATAAGAACTGGGGTGCAGACCAGAGGTGTAGGGGGTGAGAGGATTCACCAGAGACAGAGTAGGGAACAGAACAGGCAGATCTACTGAAATACACTGCGGAGGGGAGCAGCGGGCGAGACTGGAGAGGTCTGCTGCGCCATGTGGGTCACCTCCCTAGCTTGAACTCGTGCTGCTGCAGTGGCTGCGAATAACTTCATAGTGCTGCGTCTTAACCCCTTGCGCCACTAGAGAGTCCCTGATTTCTGTATAAATCCTGGCTCTGACAATGACTGGTTTTTATAACTTTGGGGAAATTGTTAAACTTCTTTATGTGCCCCAGTTTCCTCTGTAAACTGAAGGTGATAGTGGTTCTTACCCTGAAAGACTGTTTTGAGGGAAGAATGAGAATTTTGGTGAACACAGTGCCTGACTTAGTAATTTTTAGCAGCCTGGACAAACCAAAATCATGGACATTGCTTGTTTAAAAGGTTGATTGTCTTACAGTTGCCCTTACCATAAAAACATAATAAAAATGGTAGTACATTATATGATAGACCATAGTTTAATATTGTAGCCTGCCATGTTACATGCAGATTGTTTATATGTGGCCATTATTGATATCCCTATTTTACCTGACTATTCCTTTAAAACATATATAGAGGACTTCTTAAACATGCCCTCTTACGCACTCAGGCCATAGTCTTGGTAATAACCAGTCAGAACAATTAACATGAAATGAAGTTCTTAAATGTTGGGCTTAATAATGACTTTCCCACACTTGCTATTTTGGGTCCTTTTTTACTAGCCTGAGGAAATGACAAGATTGAGAAGCATGAACAGACAACTCCAGATTAATGTTGACTGTACACTGAAAGAAGTTGACCTCCTTCAATCTAGAGGTATAGACTTGATTATTTGGTAAGCCATAAGTAATAGTGTGGTGTTTTAAGATGCTTAAATAGCAATCATTTTGGTTGTAAAGATTTAAGAGAAGCTTTTATCCATCATAAGGTTATAATCTTGGTAAAGCCATTCTCCCTACCCCATGGTCATAGATTGGATTTGGGGGATCAAAAATAGTACATTGGCAGTTTCATCATTAAGTTCTTATTTAGAATGTTCTACGTTGTTAATCTTGCATTTGTCCTTTTTGAATCATTTTCTGTGAATATTGTATAAATTGATGGGTTTTCATTCTAAAACCTAGTAGATGTGTGATACTCATCTAAAGTGTGTACAAAAAATAGTGATCCCAAAATTAAAATCAGATTTCTCAGTTTTTAAAACAAATTACATATGCCATTTTTATGTCATCTATTACACAAAAGTGACTGTATCTTAGACTTTTCAATTTTTGGGGTTTCTTATAGACGTGTACTACAGTAGAAGCTCTCTTAACTGACTTTCATGTAACCTGTTTCACCAGGTTAGAGATGTCCTCTGTAAATTATACTGGTCAGACATTGCATCCCCGCATGTCTGTGTGTACTGTTGCTCCTATTGGTTCTGCTGTCTGCTTGCCAGGAGTTAAGTTGTGCCTGTTCCCAAACCTCCTTCTGCCAGTTACTGTGCTGTTGTAATTTAATGTTTCTTAAACTGACATGAATGCAGAAGCTGCTCTTTCTATAAAAACCAAAGGCAAATGCTTTTTAAAGACTCAAAGGCAAGTCACTAAAAGAAACAGGAACTGTGAATTAGATATGGGGTGAATCATAAAAATTGGACAGGATTCTGCCCTCAAGTTGTTTTAAGGTTTCTAAAAGTATCTTGGTTCATCCTAAAGAAATTAAAACAGGAAACTATAGGTCAGGGTTCAGCAAACTAGTCTGCTATTTGTTTTTGTATAGTGTTTGGGGAACCTAGCCACACCCATCTTGTTTACATTTTGTCTGGGGCTGCTTCTGTGCTTCAGCAGCACAGTTGAGGACTTGCAAGACAGCCTGTATTGCAGATCCATATAACCTAAAACATTTATGTCTGTCTCTTAGAGAAGAAGTGCCTACCTCCACTTCAGGTCATCACGGTGTGAGAAAGAATATAGAACATGTAAAGAAAAGGTGTTGGTCCAACATTAAGATATTGCTGTTTGCATAGGATTTGTTACATTACAGTTGACCTGTTTTTCCCTTAGCCATTCTGTGTTTTAATCAGCTTTCCCCCTCCTTCCTCCACTAGTCACCTGTTCTTTATTGTGGCAGCTAAGAGACCTTCTACTGTATTTTAAGAGTATAGAATAATGGAATTATCTGAACAATAGAAGCAAATTTGAATGTGAAAATTGAAGAGTCTAATGAGGTACTCTTGAAGTTTTTTTCAGAAGCCTATGTCACTCTACAGCCTACTAGCGTTAAGCAGTGAAAGAATTACTATGCGTAATGTGGGTTTTATGCAAACTATTGCTACTATATTAGAAGATTGCAGCAATTTTTTTTGTTTGTGTGTTCTTTGAAGCAAAACACATTCAAGCATTTGGTTAGGATATTTATAGTAAGCCCGACGGGATATAGAAATTAGAACATCAGCTGTGGCTTAAGTAATTGAAGAAATACATACGCACATCTTACAGCATAAAAAGATCCAATTAATATATCAAATAGCATTGTGGCTTTTATGAGCCATCATAGGACTTTTCAGAAAATTATCTTAAAATACCCTATCCAAATGGATAAAAGCATTTGTAATAAGACCTGCCAGGGAAGCCACAATTAAGGTTTCATAAGCAAAGAGCTATCTTTTGGTCTCCATTGGACAGCAGAATGCTCTTATTGGTACTAAATTCTTTCATGGTCTGGAGAAATTTTATACTGGGTTTTCAGTGTACACCTAAAAGCAAGAGAAAGTCATCTAGACATTCTGGGGGACATTGAAATAGGATGCAAGTCAGTGCATAGTTTAAGTAAAAATAGCTTTATTGCTTTGGGTTAGGAAAGTTTTCATTAAGAAAAAAATTAAATGAGGTAGTAGATATTCAAACTATCAGTACCATGTAGCATCCTCTGTAAATAAGCATGAATAGTTATAAAGCTTACTTGAAATTGTGCAGAACAAGCAGATTGCAGGTTCTCCAAACTGAAGGTATGCAAAGCTGACACCAGATCAAAACCAACCGTGGAGGAGTCATGGCAGGAGCTGGGGCTGAAATACAGACACTAAGTCAGGGAGTAAACATCTGAAGAGAGGTAAATTGTGGAAAGGACAAAAATTTTCAGGAATTATTCTGTTCTGAAATTGGCACCATATCATCCTTTTATCATTGATAGATCTGTAAGCAACATTTAAGGTACTGATTAATTTGAAAATAGGAATCCATGAACTGCTGTCATTTCATAATTATTCAGGTTGCTTAGCTACCTCGACTTAATTAATCTTTGCAAATTGATATATTTGGCTTCTTCCATTGAACTTATAATGGATTAAAATGTAAGGTAAATTATTCACTATTTTATCTTTCTCAGGTTGGTTCATTAAAATCAAAACAAACACCAAAAACTGTTCAGCCATCCTTTCATTTCTCGTCTTCATTTACCTCCCTAAATGTACCACATGCTTAATCCTGCCTAACGGGACTAGCTTTACATTATTAAACGATTCCTTCAGGTGATACTGTAGACACACTGATGTTTAGATTGCTTGTGTCTCTTCTTATAGCAGTAAACAGTTTCTTTGGGAGGAGAGTAGAATATGTCTGTAACCCTAAAGTGTTTCCCTTAGGAAAAAAAAAAGTTAACAGGATAAAGAGCTCTAAATGTCTGGTGATTATTATTTTTATAGGAAACTTTGATCCAAAAGCCATGAATAATTTTTATGACAACATAGAACCTGGCCCAGTTGTACCACCCAAGCCATCTAAAAAAGGTGAGTAGGAAAATGCCACAAAAATCATAGAAACAGAATTGTTTGGATGTTTTACATATTTATAGCAGAAGAAATGTCCATTAGATAGTCATTAACTTCTTCAGTACAAAGAAAATAACCTATTGTACTGCAGTAGACTACAATTATTGCCAAAGGTAGTTGAAGTAATATTGTCTTCTAACATAAATTTCTGATGTGCATCACTAAAAATCAACATGTGTATATACTACCTCAAGTTTACCATTCCAAGTCCAGTTCTGTCCTTCACCCTATATGGACTCTTTTACTCAATGTACCTACCCTCTCTTCTGGTAACTACTAATTGGTCTTACAGACTATAAAAAAAAAATACTTTTGTTTTAGTTCATCTGTGTTGTTTGGTTTGAGTGAAATCATATGGCATTTGTCTTTCTCTTACATCATATGCTCTAGCACCATTCAAGTTGTTACAAATGGCAGGATTTCTTTTTTTTCTTAATAGCTGAGTAGTATGCCATTGTGTATATACACCACATCTTCTTTATCCAATCATCTGTCAGTTGGCACGTAGGCAGTTCCTGTGTATAAGGCTGCAGTAAAAGGGATGGTGCTTTTATCTCTTGGAATGTGTTTTTAGGGTAAATTCCCTGAAATGGGATGACTGGGTTGTGTGGAATTTCTATTTTCAGTTTGAGACATCTCCATACTGCTTTCCTTAATGGCTACTGCAATTTATGTTCCCATTAACAGCAAACAAGGATTCCCATCTTTATACGTCCTCTCCAACACTTGTCATTTGTCTTTTGGACAGTAACCATTCTCACGAGCATCAGGTGATCTCTTGTAGTTTTGATGCATTCCCCAGGAATAAGATGACGACCATCTTTTCGCATGCCTGTTGACCATCTGCATGTCTTCCTTGGAGAAGTGTTTGTGCAGGTCCTGTGGCCATTTTTGAATCAGGTTCTTTGTTTATTGTTGAGTTTTGAGTTGTTTGCATACTAATCCCTTATTGGACATATGTGCAACTGTCTTCTCCCATTCATGAGGATGTCTTCATTTTGATAAGTTTCCTTGACTCTACAGAAGCTTTTTAATTTAATAAAGCTCCATGTATTTGTTTTTGCTTGGATTTCCTTGCCATTTTAGTGATGAGTCACCCAAGCTCATTTCTAAGGCCAGTATGAAGGAGTTTATCACCTTTGGTTTTAAGACTTACGTCCAAATCTTTAATCCACTTTCAGTTAAGTTTTGTGTACGGAAGACTTTTCTTGGCTCCTTTGCTGTGAATTAATTGTCCCTATACATACGGTTTTATATTTGCCTTTTCAGTTCTGTTGTGTTGCTCTTAGTCTCTGCTGTTTTAGTTACTATAGCTTTATAGTAGTTTGAAGTTGGGAAGGGAGCGATCTCCATTTTTGTTTTTTTCCCCCCCTCATGATTGTTTTTGACTTTCTGGTTTATCTATAGTTCCAAATAAATTTCATGATTGTTTTTATTTCTAAAGAATGCCCCTGAGAATGTTGATAGGAATTGTACTAAATGTAGCCCTTTTGTTGATGTATTATTTTAATCTGTGACACAGAATATCTTTCCATCTCTTTGTGTCTTCTATTTCAACAGTGTCTTACAGTTTTCCATGTAAAGGTCTTTCATTTTGTTAAGTTTTTTCTAAGGTATTTAATTCTTTTTAATCAGATATTGCAACTGGGATTGTTTCCTTACTCTTTTTGCTACTCCATTACTTGCATATTGCAACTGGGATTGTTTCCTTACTCTTTTTGCTACTCCATTACTTGCATATAAAAAGGCAACAGTTTTGTATATTTTGTAGCCTGCTACTCTCTTCGTTATTTCAAATAGCTTTCTACTGGAGTCTTTGGGATTTTTCTGATTATATTATCATGTCATCTGTAAACAGGGAGAGTTTTATTCTTCCTATACAATTTAGATATTCCCTCATTCTTTTCTCCTGCTAGGACTTTCAACACTATATTGAATAGTGCAGAGAGTGGACATCCTTGTTTTGTTCTTGATCTTAACGGAAAAGCTTTCACTTTTTCACCACCGAGTATGATAGTGGCCATAGGTCTCCTTGAATTTAGCTAACTGGGGGTTCTTTTAGCTTCATGGACTTGTATGCTCACTTCCTTCCATTCCTTCTCCAGGTTTGTTAAGTTTTCACCTATTTCTCTATTTCCTGCTTCCTCTCCCTCCCCATTCTGCTGGGAGCGGCCATGTTTATGGTACTGCTGGTCTTCTTCCTCTCTGAGGTCCCACATCTGAGAGCCAGCAGTCTAGCTCTGTACTTCACAGTGTCGATATAGGTGCTATGGACTTAGGGGGAGTTGTAATCTAGAGCCCTTTCTCTGTTGTCCTCGCCTGTGTTGGAGCACCTCCACACCACTTCTGCCCTTCCTTCCCCCAGGTTCTGGGTTGCGCAGGCAGCCTTGTTGCATGTGTGCCTACCCAGACCACCATGTTTTCCACTCACCTTCCATCATACCTATGTGTGGATCTCCTTGGAGTCCCTTCCAGTGTAGTCTGCCTGGGTCTCTACAGTGCTTCCACCCGCACCATCGTGCATCTGTAGGGGGGATCACCTCCACTGTGTGGTGTTCTTGGAACAAAGCAAAGAATGTGCTCTTATTGCCTTGTTGGGGATGTTACCACACCAATTTTATTTTCTAGAAAACAAGTTGAAACACTTTCAGCACTGTAAAAGTTAGAGTTGTAAAAGATACAAGTCTTGTCTTCAAATGGAAAGTTTGATCTACAGTATATTTAAGCTTCAACTGACAGGCAACAAAGGAATCCTTTTGTTCTCAAAGGCGATCATAACAATTAGATAACGACCAGGTGTTTTTTCAGCCAAGGACAAAATAAATCCTATACAAACAAGATTTGGAGAACTCCTTTTTGGACAGTGTTATTACATAGGAATAATTTTAATATTAAAGGTCGCATACCTATTCTTATTATGTAGCAATTTTTTTTTTTTTTTTAATAAATTTTATTGTTATATTCCCCATACAATTGCAGCCCCCCCATTCTGACCCCAATCCCTCCCCTCCCACCCCGCCCCCCTAAAAGTGTCTCTGGTTCATAGTTTTTTGTTGATTTTGATTTTCACTTTCTTGTAGTTATTCGTTTTCCTGGTCCCTTATTTAAGTTTTCTAGATTCCTGCTATGAGTGAGACCATCCGGTATTTTTCTTTTTCTTTTTGGCTTATTTCGCTGAGCATGATCCCTTCCAGCGCCATCCATGTTGCTGCAAATTGCATGTGTTTATCTTTTTTGAATGCTGAGTAATATTCCATGGTATATATGTACCACATCTTCTTGATCCAGTCATCTATTTTTGGGCATTTGGGTTGTTTCCAAAGCTTAGCTATTGTAAACAGTGCTGCTATAAACATAGGAGTGCAGGTGTTCTTTGGAATTGATGTTTCTGTGTCCTTTGGGTAAATACCTAGGAGTGGAATTGCTGGATCATATGGAAGCTCTATGTTTAGTAGGTCCAGAAATCTCCATACAGCTTTCCACAGTGGTTGGACCAGTTTGCACTCCCACCAACAGTGCAGAAGAGTTCCTTTTTCTCCACACCCTCGCCAACATTTGTTGTTGCTAGTTTTTTTAATATGCGCCATTCTCACTGGTGTAAGATGGTATCTCATGGTAGTTTTGATTTGCATTTCCCTGATGACAAGTGATGTTGAACATTTTTTCATATGCCTGTTGGCCATTTGCATTTCCTCTTCAGAGAAGTTTCTTTTAAGCTCTTCTGCCCATTTTTTGACTGGATTATTTTCTTTGTTGTTGTTGAGTCTCATCAGCTCTTTGCAGATTTTTGTGATCAGTCCTTTATCATTAGTGTTGGGTGCAAAAATGTTCTCCCAGTTGGTGGGGTTTCTCTTTGTTTTTGTTATTGTCTCTTTTGCTGTGCAAAAGCTCTTTAATTTGATGTAGTCCCAGCTGTTTATCTTTGCCTTCACTATCACTGCTTTGGGTGATGTGTCTGTAAAGATGTCTTTGATGTGCAAATCACGTAGTGTTTCGCCTATATTTCGTTCTATATATTTTATGGTTTCAGGTCTTATGTCTAGTTCTTTAATCCATTTTGAGTTAATTTTTGTGTATGGTGTGAGGTGGTGGTCAAGCTTCATTCTTTTGCATGTAGCGACCCAGTTTTCCCAGCACCATTTATTGAACAAACTTTCTTTGCTCCAATGCATATTCTTTTGTAGCAAATGTTTTAATTAGCATTTTAGTATTAAAAATTTCAGTTAAACTTAAATGTTGACTTTTTGAATTTAGATTACCTTTCTAGACTGAACTGAAGTATACCTGACCCATCTTACTCTTTTTTTGCTTGGTCAACCAAGATAATTATGAAGCCAGAGTATGGAAAATGCCTCACGTAAGGGTAACAATTAAAAATCTCAGACCTAAATTAATTGAATTTTGAACAGCTTTACATATAATTTACCCTCAGTAGAGTGTTTTACATATTTCATTTATAGGTTGCAACACAGCATCCTCTGTTCTTTTTATTGTTTAATACTAGCATGGATGTTTCATCCAATTTGTATTTAAAATAGCCTAGTGATTTCTAAAAATGGGAATCTAAGTGGATGAGTGCCAAGTACCAGATCGGATGCTGTGGCAGCATATGCAGGTTCAGGCTGAAAGCTGCTGAGATATATAACACTCATCACTTTAACCATTGGATTAGGAATATATTGTCTTTAAACTTGATTTTGCCTGAGTGGCTAATAAAGGATACTTTACCTACTGGTAATTCAATAGACAAACTTCTCAGTGATGGAAGAGCGCTTATAGAGGAGTGGATCTATTTAAGGCAGAGCATTGAAAACTTGTTAACCTGGGAACAAAGGACCAAGTTGATGAGAAATGGTGATCAGTATGTTTACCATGATCCACCTCATTAGCATAAACTCTCAGGTAAGGTGATTCTGAAATTCATGCAAATAACAGATTAAAGCTGGTAATCATAATGTGGCACTGGTAGAGGAATAAAATAGATCAATGGAACAGAAGAGGAAGCCCAGCTGTAGACCCTCACACTGCCAATTGATTTCTTACAAAATCATAAAAAAAAATGGAGAAATTTTTTCAACAATCAGGCATAACATACTGGGAGAAAATACTTATCTGGTAAAGAACTGGTATCCAGAATGTTTAAAAAAAAAAAAAAGGCAAAATATGTGAGTTGATATTTCACAAAGAAATAATAAACACTCGAATAGACATTAGGGAGAGCAATGCAAATTAAAATCTTGAGATTCAGCCTCACACCCACCAGAATGGCTAAAATTCCACTAGTGATATGAAATGTTAGTGAAAATGTAGAGCAATCAGAATTCTTACACATTGGTGACCATTCTGGTAAATAGTCTGGCCATCCCCTTTTCCAGCCAGCCTATGTCCCGTTCTACTTACAAAGATTCCTCCAACAGAATCTAAAGCATTTATCCACAAAATAACTTCCATTTATAGCATTGTTCATAATCACCAAGAACTGGAAATAGCCCAGATATTTAATAGGTGACTGTATAGTCTGTGGTATATTCATACCATGGACTACTACTCAGCAATAAAACAACTGAACTACATGTAACAACAAGGGTGACTCAGCAACATAATGCTGAATGAAAGCAATTAAATACCAAAAAAAAAAAAAAACACAAAACTACCATATATTTTCTAGAACAAAATCATGGTTTTTTTAAAAAAAAAAAAAACAAAACACCAGAAAAGTGGTTGTCTCTGGGACTTGAGGTTGGGGAGGAACTGGCAATAGGGCATGCGAGGATTTTCTGGACTGATGGTAATGTTTAACTCTCCATAGGGATTTGGATTACCCAGGTGTGTAAGTATTTGTCAAAACTATCAAGTGGTATAGTTTTGTATTTCATCGTGTAATTTTTAACCTAAAAATTGACAAAGTTATTTCGTGAGGTAATGTGATAGATCAGCTGCCAGGAGCCCACATACTCACTTTTCTAGCAGTGGTGATGTCTGTTTTACAGGTATGTGGTTCTTCCTTTGAGAACAGCACCATGTGTTTGAGATGGGAGGTTGCTGTTTGGCGTCCTGCTCATCTGGGGAGAGGGCTTGCATTAGTGTTCCTTTACGCTAAAAAGGCTCTTTTAATTCTAACAGAATTGGCTAAAGCTGATATTGGGTAGTCAGTTGTAGTGGAATTCCAGTAAAAAATTCTTAGATATGTATCAAACACTCATTGTGTAGATGCATTGTGGGGATGCTCCTTAGATGATTCAAAAAGTTCTCCCTACACTGTCGTCGGTAATTCAGACAGAAACTGGAAGCACCGATCCTGCTCATCTTGGCCACCTATGACCTTGGTCACATGCAGCCTGTACACCAGCAAAGCGATCGGTCCAAATACTGATAATAGCTTGTGTATTTTTGCAGGGTTGTTGTAAACATCAGTAAGAGGAAGAAGATAATGCTACAGGAATGCTTTACAAGTCTTAATAGAACTTACCTCCTTAGGTTCCAGAGACTTAAGTTGTCTACCCTGCTCTTTGATAATCAAGTATTTAAGTGCCCAAACAACCACACATAGGATCCTGGAGCAGTGATTTCCAAAAAGGGGTTGGTGCTAGTGCATGGCATCTGGGCTCAGAACTGATTAGAAAATGCAGGACCTTCCTTTGGTTCTTAAGGGCAAACAAATAACATGAGATCTTTTTACTTTCACTTAGTGTAAAGAAGAATGGTTACTGAATTTATAAATGAGCAAACACTGTTCTAGTAAGAAATTGGGATGCCTGAAGCCCACTGTTGCAGTGTCTACTCGACTTTTGCACGTCGGCAATTACCATTTACAAAATGATTGGGGGAGCAGGCGTTATCAGTACAAAGTAGTAGTTACAGTTGGATCGGAATTTCAAAAGTGCTCCTGTCTTTGCTTTTTAGTGATAATACTGCAGTAGCTTAATTTTAATCATTATTGTAGTATGTTCTTTGGTTAGCCTTACATGGACAATGTACTCTCAACCCATGATTTTCTAACAACTATTGCTTAATTGGGGGCTTGCTAAAGTATAATCTCCCAAGTTTTGCTTTCACAGTAATATTCATGCTGTCACTTAGTTTGTACCCCTAAGCCACTGTAGCAAACTATTGAAATAGAAAGCATTTGTTCCAAATAATTGAAGGTGGAAAGAAACATTTGTATAAACCACTGCTCTATATAAATTCTAGAAGCAGAATTAAGTATAGCACTTGCCCTCTCAGGAGAACTGAAGGTAACATGAAGTGATAGAAAAGGTAAATATTCAACTGTGCACATACTGTGAGAAATTCTCATGAGCCGGTCCATGCTTGCTAATGAATAGCTTCAATCCTTATTCCTGGTTTTACTTCTCACGCAGATTCGTCAGATCCCTGTACAATTGAGAGGAAAGCCAGAAGAATTAGCGTGACCTCAAAAGTACAGGCAGACGTCCATGACACTCAGGCAGCAGCTGCAGATGGTTTGTACTTACTTTTTTGGAGTTTGCGCAAAATGTCCAAAGACATGTAGTAACCCATGTAGAGTTAGAAATAAAGCCCAACTTAAAATTACTCTCTGCTGAGTTCCTAAGGCTTTACTGTCCAATAGAAGCCGTATTTAAAAAAGTAAACAAGTGAAATCAGTGTATAAGGTATGTCCATTTTAGATCAACATATAAAGTTATCAGTAATATTTCATACTTACAGCACATCTCAATTCAGAGTGGCCATGTGTCAAGTGCTCGGTGGCCACCATATTGCACAGATCATCTCTAAGGTAATGGTGTCTAGAAAGCAAGGCCAAATAGATCATTTTAAAAATCTTCTCACGGAAGTTTTCTAATGCTTCTTGAACAATCATGGGCTTCAGTTTGAGTTTCTGCAAGTATTCTATTTCACACTTAAATTCTCCTTAATATTGAATTGATTGTCATTTAGCAAGGTGGAAAAATCCCTGGTGGTGCAGGGGTTAAAGTCTCAGCACTTTCAAGCTGTCTGGCCAGGGACCTCTCCTTCCTTGCCCTGGGGCTCCCTTCAGCAGTGTATTTCAGTACACTCTCCGGTGAATCCTCCCCTCCCCCCACCTCTGGCCTATACCCCAGTTTTTGCAAGCATAAATAAATTTCTTAAAAAAACTACATCTCATAGTTTTAAAACACATCCTTTATTTTTTTTCCTTTAACATATTTCCCCTTATTGGAAAAATCTTTGTGTTTGAAAAAATATTTAGAACTTTTAGAACCCTTAAATATTTTTTTTCCTTTGAAGATTATTTATGCATACAAGAACTAGGGTGTAAGACAGAGGTGCGGGGGTGGGGGTTGAGAGGATTCACCAGAGAGAGTGGGGAGCAGGACAGGCAGATGCACTGAAATGCACTGCTGAAGGGAGCAGTGGGTGAGGCATTAGTCTGCTGCACCATGTGGGCTGCTCCCTGGCTGGTGATAGCTTAGTAGCGCTGTCTTTAACCCCTGCACCACCAGGGAGGCCCAGAACCCTTGAAAATTTTAGTTGTATCCTTTATCGTCATATCCTAATTATTACATCACATAAACAATATTGATTAAACTGTTGATTTTCATCTTTGTAGAAAATTAGCCTGCTAAAATTAATCCACTTAGTGTTAAAGGAAAAACCTGTTTGTTTCAGTTGTTTGTTTATAAACATGTACATTTTCAGTGTCGCAGGAGAAAGAAAAGATCTCACACCTGTAAATCATATGAGAGCCATCTAAAATGTCTTTGGAGTTTTAGATGCTTCTATTTAAATTGTCCTTTCCCTATGGTGCAATGAACAATTTTTTTTTCTAGGATTAAAGGTAATTATAAATTAGGTGCCTTTTAAATATTTTTTTTGATGAGTTACTTCAGAGTGATCAGTAGCAGAAAATTGTCACTCCAAAATACACCTTTGTCTGAAGGATTACTTACAGACACAGGAGGAGCTCTGAAAACCCCAAATTAGCCTTTTGTACGGGAGATTGATGAAGGTACTCTTCATTAGTGTTTCTCAGCACCAGGAAGAGGAGGATGACTCTAAATCAGAGAGTCTTGTCAATGGAGAAGGCACCCCTTTAAATCTGCATAACAACCGTGCCCTCAGTGTTGCCTGTACTTAGCCTGATAACCTCCCATGGCATCTTTCTTTTGTCTTTAGTTGAAGGGGACATTGAAGGTGGTATCTTGGGCCACTTGGGGAAGTTTTACTCAGTTTTTCAGGGTGTCTCCTGTGTATACAAGAAGTGATCTACATGCCATTTGACTTCTGCTTTATTACTGGGGGTGGTCTCAGCCAGAAACTCAAGAGTATGGAAGGAAATCTTTTTCCGCCCCCAGAGTACTTAACAGTGAAGTCCCCAGGTGTCCTGAATTCATTGGTTCAAAGAGGACTTATAGTTTATCTATTTTAGAAAGAGGAGTTTGGAAGGCTTTGTTTGGAATTGACACAGAAAGACAGACTGTAATAGGCTGCAAACCCTTAGGCTAACATCTTGAGTTTTATCGCACTCTAGAAAAGTGAGTTTTTAAGAGCCGGTTAAAACCCAGCAGAATAAGGCAAAGATTTTTTAAATGTTAGATTTTTTAAAAAGTACTATAGGAGGCGAACATGTTTTCTTCTAATACACTGCTTCAACAGCATGCTTTCATTTCTCCACATGAGACAAAAAACCTAAACTGTGCGTGTTTTGGACTCGTGAGTCAGAAGATACAAGGTGGATGACAATGTCAGTGAAAAGTCACAGTCCAGGCCAGTGAAACAAAATGAGCCTTTTTATAATCTTAGGAACAGGCTAAAGAACACTCTGGCAGCCTATTATAAGGCTGTGGGCATCTTCCTGATTAAGTCGGAGCCTTATTATGCAGGCAGTAATATATAGGCTCTAAAACTCAATTCTCTGCCTCTTGGGGAATGTTTATACCAGCCATTTGTCAAAGACAAATTGATAAAAGTCTGGTCAGCTCATTAATAGCCAGTGGATGAGAAACCCCAAATGGTAACTGATTAAAACCCACATCTCAGTTTCTTGGGTTACCTGCTTGCTTACCTTAGATCTTAATCTTGTTTTCAGTTCACAGTGAAGATTCCCAGTATCTTGCAGGTAGATTGCCCCAGCCTCTTGATCTTGCTCCAGATTCCAGGGTAAATTCCATCCCGGATCCTTAGACCTCTATTTTCACTGACCCCCCCACTTTTCAATAGGGACTGCTCTTAAAAGGCGGTATTTACAAATCAATTCTTTTTTTTTTTCTTTTTGTTTTTTTTACAAATCAATTCTTGATGCAAAAATCCTTTTGAGCACAAGGCCAGAGAGAATGAGGACCTCAGAAGAAAGTAAAGTTCAAGGTTTTTTAATCTCAAAGACCAATGTGAAGTTGCCAGCATTTCATATTAAGTATAGGTATATGTAAAAACTAATACCTACAGGACATTTTAATACCAGAAAGGTAGGAAAGAATCAGAATAAAAGATAGTCTTTCATAGTGAATAAATTTAGCTTTATGGAAGGCTCATTTGTCTTTCTCATCAGTCAGAGGAAAACTTGGTTCGCTAATGGCAATGACAGTTCATAGCCATTATTTAACACGTGAATATCAAGGATGAACATCTCAAGAAGGAACACTTCCAATCAGATGTCTGTGTAACATGGCACCAGCATACCTAGGGATGGGGGGGGGGGCACCTAAAGTCGTCAGAGCAAAGTTAGAGAGGAGGCAGAAGTTCACATGCTATATAACCTGTCAGCATTTTCTTTGGGCTGGAATATAGTCTAACTCTCTACCATTGTGAACAAGAAAGGTCATCTATGCTGGAATTCTACTTAAAAAACAAAACAAAACAGAAACCTGTAGACTATCTATAACCTCCCTGTTCAGTGTTGCATTTCAGTAGCTCTGTTAAGTAATTGACTTTACATTGGGGAGGAGGGTTAATTTCTAGATGACGCTTGAAAAAAATTCAGACCGTTTTCTCTTTCAATCTTAACTTCCATCAGAGCATCTAACTGGCTCCAAACAGAGTCCACGGACACAACCCCGAGACGAAGACTATGAAGGGGCTCCATGGAATTGTGACAGCTGCACCTTTCTGAACCACCCAGCACTAAACCGCTGTGAGCAGTGTGAAATGCCACGGTACACTTGAACTCAGAAGAGCCTGAACCAGGTTGAGAGTGAAAGTTTGAACACCCACTAGAAGAAAAGGAAACCTCGGGAACCTGTTCATCTGCCCAGCCTTTTCATTTCAGACACATGGGGGGAGGCGAAGCGACACCGTAGCGCTTGTGCTCACTCACCGAAAAATAGGGAGGTTTTTTTTCCCCTTTCTTTACTCATGGCCGAGTGAGAGAGAGAAAGGGATACTTGAAACTGGGAAAGGATTCATTCCTGAAAGAATGTACACAGAGCAGTTAAGAGCTCTTCTGTGGGATCCCAATTGTTAAAGTTACTGCTGAGTGGCCCTTATTTTGTAAACTAGAATTTTCACTCATGGTGTGACATGTTACAGTTTAGGCAGACAAACTGTGAATTTCCAGAGCAGACTTACTTGGTCACAGCTTTCTGGAAAACCAAGGCTCCCCCGTGCTTCCTCCTGTTGTTTCCTATTGAAGAGAAGGACAGGAAAAAGCACCAGCATATGATTTTCTTTCAGCAGAATAATAAGGGTATCTGTAATTGCTGCTTCTTTCAGGGGTAATTTCAAACACATAAACAAGATCTTTTAAAATGTGATTTGTAGCAGTCAGGAATTAGGCATTATCATGCCCTTTCTTTGAAAGTACAATCAAAGGTGTTAAGATTCCTTTTGCTTGTACAATGTTTCATCAAGCTGTATCAACACTGGTAACTAAGACCTAATTATGCCACATAATAGTTTGTTTTTTTTTTTAAGTTACTGCATGCATCTGTTAGGCCATTGTTTTTAAAAATAAACAAGTCCTGACAAAGTATGATTTTATAAATGACCTTCTCATAAAACTGTGCTTTTGCCCATAGCACAATGAATGTATGCCAAGTTGAAGTCCAGTCCAAAAATTCACTTTGAAAGTCTTGAGCTCAGCTGTAGTTCTATAGGAAACGTTTGCAGTCAATTGGGTCTTCCCCCGCCCCTTCCAATTGTGTGACAAATTAATGATGTTTACAGCACAGATAATACTTTGTGCCACAACCCTAATTCAGCTAAAAAAAAAAATCAATATTAGCTGTTCAATGTACATTTATTTGCACATGTTAAAGCAGCGTGAGGGAGATGACAGCTGGCCAATGGCATAAAGTTGCACACTGCATTATTTCGGAAGAGGAGTCTAGTCAAGAACTATGTTTCAGAGGAAGATGAATACAAAGGACTTTGAAACGAAGAAACTTTAAAGTTAACATACTGTATTTGTGAGAGAATAGTGAGTTCATTCAGGTAGCTTAGGTGATGTAGTAAAGCACTCCTTATTTATGAAACCAGAACTTCAGGATGTGAAAAACTGAAAATGCATAAAATCATCTGGCCCACTAGGGTGCACCACTGAAAAACAGCACATTTAATTCAGGTCCCCACCTTTGTTGACCTTCCTCCCTAGCTCAGAATTGGATTTGGGAACCTTCCCCTCATATGGGCGAATGTAGACAGCAATAAGAGTGGTAGGTTTTCCGATCCTAAAGGATTTTACCTGAGGTTCTACTTTAGGAATATTTACTCTCCAGCACCAGGTGCCCCCTGCACTCAAGAACATGCACACGTCAAGCGGCACTGTACTCTGACGCAGCCGTCTCTGGCAGACCTGGAAAAACAAGCTGCACACTTCATAGCATAAGGAAACCAAAGGCATAACACTCATCGTAGTTGTCCATCCAAATCATCATTTCACCCTCTACCTACAGCTTTGAAAACCTTTTTTTCCTATGTGGAAAATTCCCTGAACTATTATATCCACTCGTCTCACAAAGTGTGGCTGTGTAATGTACACTGATAAAACATCTCTCATACAACAACTGTGGCAAAACTGTGAAAATAATGGCGAGAAAGCAGACAGGCTTAACAGCATTGACCTGAAAACAGCATTCTTTAAAGGCTTTTGTAACACTGGTGTCTGTCAGTCTCCAATAACAGTCTGTCAGTCCTGCTGTTCTGGAATATGCCAATGCCTTTGTGTGGTTTCATATCTCTTTAGTGATGGTCAACCCCACTTGGTATTAAGTAACAATTAGGGGAAAAATATATATACTGCTTGGTGTTCTAGCTCAAGGTTTACCAGTATTCTTAGTGATACGCTGAAGTGGCAGCAATTAACTTGGCAGTTTCTCAGTAAGGAATGAAAGTAGCATGTATGAAAACAGTATGATGCTTTAATCAAACCATATAGAAGACTTTAAAACTACTGCATGAACATACATCCAGGTTACTAAGCTGTTATCATACAGTAGATGCATGGTTCCAGTCCTTTGGTGATATATAGTAAATCATTGTTTTCACCTGCCAGGAAAATGAGAAACCACTCTATTTGATCGATAGATGGAGAGGGTGGGATATGAGACACCAGAGATTGATCTTAGGGACGTTTTTGTATGTTCATTTCTGGTTATGCACAAGTTTCAGATGTCAACATAGGCTGTATTCAGTTTTTTTAAATAAGCAAAATTATTTGACATATTTAACTATGCCCCATATAGAGACTACTTCTTGCCTATGACCAGTTTGAACAAGAATTCAGTCAGCTGTCAAAGCTGCCTTTTGAAAAGGATCTCCTAAGTAGGATGGATATGTACAGACAATTGACATGGAAGTGGCAGGATATAAATTGGATGACGCCTGGTGAGGTGCCTCTGTTCTTAGGATCAGTGCCTGCACCTCTCGTTTTTAGTAACAAAAAAAAAATATTAAAATATGACCAGTTTGTGGTATCTGGTAACACATATACCTGACTATACATTTTACATTATTTCACTGTCTTGTCAACTGGGTTTTTAGAAAGCACATTTGCCGTTTTATTAAAAAGTACATTGCCCTTAAATTTTGAAGTAGGTCTTAAAAGTTTGAATTGGTAAGAGGAGCCAGGAACTTTCTAGGCATGGCAAAATGTTTCATATGAATAATGACCTTGTTTGGGAGAGCTCAGAGACAAGGGGTTTTAAAGAAAAGAAATGCATTGTACAAAGTGTAGTTTTAGAGCAGATTAACGATGGTGGGGAAAGTGTTGCTAATTTGTTTGTTTATTTCCCTGAAAGAAATGGGAAGTGTGATAAGCAGTTTAATAATTTTTAAGGAGCTGGTCTCAATTTAAGTACTTTTTACTTATTAAAAGAAGTCAATGTTTCCTTACATTTTGTCATTGCTTTGTCACAGCTCTCTAGGGCTCATATCCAACTTGCTGTGGCAACTCAATTTTATATAGTATTTTAAAAAGGTAATAGTGATGTCTGACAGTATAAACAAAAAGCAAGAATATAAGGCATAGAAATTTTGTTCTTTAAAAATATCAAAGATGTATCCTGGAATGTGAAGATGTCCCTTTACAGTTAAAGTTGATTTATTTTAATATTGTAATCGTTCAGACTTTGAATGAGTCCATGTTACAATATGTGTCTGTATATCTGTAGAGAAAAATGACAATTGAAATGTTACTTTAAACAAATCAATAAATTGGGCACTGTCTGTGTTGCACCACTACTGTATCTTTTTTGAATGAATCAACAGTAGTTTCTTGCTGTACAAGCTAATTGTGATGACGTTTTCACATTCACCGGACATCTGTTCTTTTCCCCTGTATTACTTGTATCCCCAGATATGTAATACAAGTAGAGTTTTGCATGGCGAGGGCTTCGGAGATTAATCAAATGGTGACTCTGATTTCTAAAGCCATGAAAAGTTGCTTTGAGACCAAACAATTCCGAATTCTTATTTATACTGACACCCAGTGTCCATGTTTCCCCACTGTGAAAGAATCGATCACGTTCTTCATTAAAACAGCAAGAACTTATTAAACATGATATTCATAAGGTCTCTTAGATTTCTGTGTATGTTGGGAACCAGATTTTATATATATATATAAAGGCTATGCATGCAACTTACCTCCAGACAGTCCATATTCGGGGAGTCAAAGACGCCTGCAAAAGAAATTAATAAACTGAAAGCAAATAATACATTCTGCATCTTTTTTGTAGAGTTAGAAGTAATCTACAGTATCAAACTAGTCCTGCTTCCAAACACTGACTTGTTCCTGGCCTGAAATAATGCTCTCTCGGAAACCTGATCTTTCATTCCATTTCTGTTCCTGTGCACATGTAGTAATGTGGGATTGGGGGTGTCAGTGTTCCTTACCCTCATTTAAAAGTTGGACAAATGTACATGAAAGCTATTTTTATATAAAATGCTGGACTGTTGGAAACATTTTCATTTTACTTCAATACATTGCTTACCAAAAATGAGCATTTTTTTGTCTTTAGAAATTACTAGCTACAAATGACAAAGATAAATAGAGGCCCTAACTCTTCATTATGCTAGGGGGTCTGTAGTCCGCTCTCCCAACTTGTGCACTGAAATCAGCACAGATGAATCATAATAGCCTTTTCAGTGATGAAGCACATTCAAAGTCAAAATCATTTCCTCTGCATTTTTTAAAATATTTTTAAAAATTGCAAACATCAGCAAGTACAGAAGAACCATAGTGATCCCCACACTAACCAGCTTCCAAAATTGTCTGTGTGTAAGCAACCCGATTTCATCTCTATTCCTACCCATTATTTTGACACCCCAACTATTATAGCAATTCTTTCTTTTTAAAGATGTATTTATTTTGGGGCCTCCCAGGTGGCGCAGCAGGTTGAGCGCGGCGCTGTGAAGCTGTCCGCAGCCTCTGCAGCGTGGGTTCAATTCCCAGCCAGCCAGGGAGATTCCCACATGGCGTGCCAGATCTCTCCTGTCTCACCTGCGGCTCCCCTCAGCAGTGTACTTCGTCAGTCTGCCTGTTCTCCTCCCCGCTCTGTCTCTGGTGAATCCTCTCACCTTCCCGCCCGTCTGGCCTGTACCCCAGCTCTTGTATAAAAGTAAATAAAAATCTTAAAAAAAAAAAATATGAATACAAGAGCTGGGGTACAGGCCAGAGATACGGGGGGCAGGGAGGGAGAGGATTCACCAGAGACGGAGTGGGGAACAGAACAGGCAGACTGACTGAAGCACACTGCTGAGGGGTGCAGAGGGCAAGATAGGAGAGGTCTGCCTCACCATGTGGGTTGCTCCCTGGCCGGCCGCTGCAGAGGCTGCAGATTGCTTCATAGTGTGGTGCTTAACCCCTTGAGCCACCAGGGAGGCCCAACAATTCTTTAAATAAACCTTTTTTAAACATAAGCACAGCATACTCATCGCCTATTTTAGCATCAGATACCCAGTGTTAAATTTCCCAAGTAGTCTCACAGGTTTTTTTTTTTGTTTTGTTTTTTATAAGCAGGTTCCAAACAGGACCTACACAGAATATTTGAAATTGACTGTCAAAATACTCAAAATTCAAAACATTTAAAATTGACCTTAAAGGGCCTCCCTGGTGGCCTAGGGGTTAGGTCTCTGCATTATCACCACTGTGGCCTCCTGAGTTCGCTCTCCAGCTAGGGAGCTGACCCACAGGCACAACAGACCTTTCCTGTCTTGCCCGCTGCTCCCCTCAGCAGTGTACTTCAGTCAGTCTGCCTGTTCTCCTCCCCGCTCTGTCTCTGGTGAATCCTCTCACCCCCCCCCCCCATACCTCTGGCCTATACTCCAGTTCTACACAAAAATAAAATTAAATAATAAATTGACCTTAAGACATTTTTGCTGTATCAGAAATCCTAAGGAAACTTTCCATCGTCAGCTCTCATTACCCTCCACATCTTACCCCGTGATCATACACAGAACCTCAAAGACAAAGGAGAACTAAATAGTATGTGAAGTATTTCTCTTATTTCCCCTCCTCCTCATTGCTTCCCACATCTTAGGTTGTTCCTTTTAAATGGTTTAATTTTCAAATAGAAAATTACTGCAAAGCTGTTTGGTTACCATTGTTAGAGCTCACTTCAGCAGCGAGAGGCAGGTGTGAGACCTGTCACCCCACTCTCCCTGTACGGATGTCTCTTTGGCAATTGATTAGCTAGCTCTGTGTTCCACACACAAGCATGGGGGACACTGTGTCTCCTACCTGCATCCCTACAAACTTTTCCTGACATAACTTTGGCCTGTTGGCCAATTTTCTAAGACATTGCCTGGGTGGTGATTTG